CTTTTTGGGCCACCCTGCCTTGGTGGGATACGGCCGGTTTGTTGAAAAAAAAAATCTCAAAAGGTGAAATCTGCTGAACACAGTACAATTCAAACTACTGTACTGTATAATTAATGGCCGAAATTCATCAAGTAGTCGTCTGTTATCCAAAAATGCATAAATAAAAGGGATAGGCAAAAGGAGGTGATAACATCAAAATTAAAACAGAACCCCCAAAAATATTTTCAGATTTAACTAAGAAATTGTAGAAGAGTGGAACAAACTAACCAAACAATGTCATCGAAACAATTATCTTACGAAGCTTTAACAATAGGTTGGGCAGATACAAGAGTAAAAAATAGTTGGGTGAAGGTAGGTTCTGTCACGCATGGGCTAGAGGTCTTGCTGCAGTTATCATGTTCTTATGCAAGAATCTGGTACACTACTTCGCTTATGCCTATGTATACACACACCCAAGGATAACATGGTCAATACGAATGAAGCGATAAAGAAAACAGGTATGAAAACAACAGAATCAGTATTTATTTTTTTATATTGTAGCTATTCATGACAGTCAAACTCTCACGTCACTTATCAAGTCAACCAACAAGGCTGACATGCCTGACAATCTCAATTAATGTATGATTCTTTGTAATCAATACAACCCCACTGCGCATAGCAAGCGCAACACCCCCAACCCCCTTCCTCAAACCGTGCTGAACCACACCACAGACTTCGTCTCAAGAATTTAATGACATGGCCTGTGAGTTACGAAATGGTTTCTAAACGTAAATTACACGAAGACCTTATTTTTTTTCTCATGCCAATAAGAAATGCGATCATCGTTTAATAATTTAATTCCTTGGTTGAAATTTAAATCAAAGCTTTGAGGTCATACGATCGCAAGATTGAGGTTTATAAGTGGAAGACAGGAATAAATAAAGGGGATGTAAATAGTGTGCTGAAAATATCTAGCCTAGACAGGACTCGCAGCAATGGTTTTAAGTTGGAAAAATTCAGATTCAGGAGGGATATAGGAAAGTACTGGTTTGGTAATAGAGTTGTGGATGAGTGGAACAAACTCCCAAGTACCGTTATAGAGGCCAGAACGTTGTGTAGCTTTAAAAATAGGTTGGATAAATACATGAGTAGATGTGGGTGGGTGTGAGTTGGACCTGATAGCTTGTGCTAACAGGTCGGTTGCCGTGTTCCTCCCTTAAGTCAATGTGACCTGACCTGACTAGGTTGGGTGCATTGGCTTAAGCCGGTAGGGACTTGGACCTGCCTCGCATGGGCCAGTAGGCCTTCTGCAGTGTTCCTTCGTTCTTATGTTCTTATGTTCTTAAGAGCATAAATGAACAAAACGAACAAGTAGTAGGCCTACTGGTCCAAGGTAGTCAGGTCCTATTTACACCCAGCTCTCTTCACTCATGTACATATAACTTATTTTTACAGCTTTCCATAGCATTAACTTTAATAGCGCAAACTGCATGTTTCCACTCACAATTTGAGTGCGAAACCAGTTTTCTCGTATCCCTTTTCGATATATAATTACTCAATTTACATCCATTGTCACATGGTCTGTTTCGAATTTATATTGTAAAGCCCTTTTTCATATCCACTTATTTATATCTTTCATCAATACGGATGCTTCAGCCATTTTTATCCTTTCATTGTGTATTTTATAACGTAACATCAATTTTCACTTGGGGAAGTAAACCTACTTTCCCCAACTGAAAACCACCTCTTACAATCTATCCTTATTTTACTACGTTAATTTTCTTTCCCAACGTCAGTTTCTGAACGTTCCATGTAAACTTACAAATATTTTCTTGAAGTTGTTGTTACATACATCCATATTATTATCACCATCAATTTAAGCGCTAAACCCGAAATGGTCCTATAATAACAAACCTATATGTATATCTAATCACAAATAAGTAAATTTAATAAAACCACGACACGTCTTTCTGCACAATGGCTGCAAAGCACCAGAAAACGTTCAAATCTGAACGGTATCACTCATGGTGAGCGAATAGATTGTTCATGAACACTTGATAGGCAAACCTGTATAATTCCTGACGATCTAGTGTCAATCTGAAGTATGTTACGATATTCTTAACCTACTTAATCAAGTTGCGTAGTAAATAAGAAAGTCCCTTAAACTATCCAAAAGAATGAAGAGAAACTGTACAAGAATACAAAGCTAAAATCTAAAGAGAATGTTGCGAGTGACTGCAACTGACAACTGAGCCTTCAGACCAAGACCAGCTACACTACCAACCTTTCAAGGGAGGACCTTGATGCTAGCTAGGGAAGAGCTCCCGATCCAAGGAATCGTATTATCATGGGTAAAATGCTAAACCTATAGGGGCCATACAGCTACTGTGCTACTGTGGATGAAGAGCCAATTAAGACTAAGGGAAAGTGGCTCCAATTCTTTGGATCGAGAGCCTTTACCAGCCACATGGCACCTCCCAAGGAATTGGAGCTACTCTCCCTTTCCTTGGATCAAGACATTACCTCCCATTCCCCCAAGTGCTACATGACCCCCTAAGAGTTTAGCGCTTCCCCATGAATATACTAATAACACAATGAACCCCTTCTTGTCATACCTTTGCGTCAGTCTACTGACGCCAACACTGCCCGCTATGATGATTATGATATTAATGATAATAATAATAATACACTGCCAAATTAAAGTATGCCTTCTACATACTAAATTCCATGTACAGTACCACGCCCAACAAAAGAGTATTCAAGCATGTTAATTTCCCGTTTATATACTACTTATTGTTAACTAAAGACATTTCCCACGCGAGCACATTACTGAATGAGAGGCAAAAGCGGGGGATAAAAGGGATGGATAAAATAAATGGAGAAAAATAGAACGAAATGCGAATAGTAATGAAGGAAAACGTTAAAGAGAGGAAATCAGACATGCTCTAAAATAAGCGATAGAGACCAGATATCGCCCGGACGGGTCGATAGCAACTACGACTCTACAATCAAGATCGGCGAAGGGAGAATAGTTGACCGGCCTGATGGATTATTTCCAATGAATATTTCACTGGGCAAGCAAGAAGGGCGAGGCGTGGTGGGTGGTGGTGGAGGTGGCAGACTTACCAACGTGACTGGTCAACCCTCACTCTGGACTGTACCTAACTCAAATTAGTAACCTTAGTTCAAAACCTATTGACTACGCATTGGTTATTAAGGCTGTAATATACTTGAACACTAACATCTAGAATATACTAATTTCTAAGGGATTTAAATAAAGTAAACTTTTCTTATGTTCTTCATACACAAAGATATATACCTCACTGTATATACCTTGTTGGCTACTCAAGATCCACCGTTTTCTCTACACCCATCCCCACCTAAATATTTACAAATATGAGAACTATAGAAAACTGCAAACTGCCTAATCAATGTGAAACTAAGTGGATTTTGTGTAGACTTCTTGTTGTATATATTTGTTTAGTGACAAGATCTTGTTTATTTAACTTATCTTCTTATCAAGAATGAGCTACTAATCATTCTCAACATTTCAATGTTACAACAAAAATAAGTTGGTGCTGTACGGTGCTATTCCACTGCCACTATCCTGATTAATTCTCTAAATATTATTACTAGATAGCCCGAGCCAATTCTGTCTTTTGTTTGCTTGTTCCACTTCATTCATCAACACTTACGTTTCTCGCGGCTAAAATAAACTGGATCGTCTTCTATTTGCAAGGGAGAACTCTAAGCTATACAACATTACAATAATTCCGGCTTAATCATGCTTTCGACGATTAATCAAACAAGCAAATATTATTCGACTAAATAATTTCGAATCTTTCAAACGTCATATCCCAACGCGGAGAGAAAACATTAGGTCTCCTCCCCAGCCCGTCTCCCGGCAGCCACACACCTTTCTTGTGCACTGCAGCTCACCAAGTCACGCGGAACTTAAGTTAGCGACACGGGAATAACCTATAAAACCAAATTTTAACTTATCTGCAACACATTTAACGTTCATCTTCCATTTAGACAGATTTCACTATGGATTCTACATGTCAATATGAGCGATTTCATGAATTCTCTTGTCTTAAACAGCCCATGTTAATATTTAACTCCGTAAAATAATTTCTCCCGCCAAATTAAATTCCCAGTCAAGCTAATGATGTACATTTCCCATCGGATTGTTTTCGCGGATTCTACTCATTTAAGTTTGCCAAATAAAGATTAGCAGATTGATGAGGTCTGGATGTTAAGATACCAAAGTGAGTATATGAATAGAGGTTGTGTGAGCGTGGAGGCCTGGGTTAGGGTGTGTGGCTGTAGCGGGGTTGGAGGCCACATACGGGCTGGGGACGAGAGCGGGGCGTGGAGTGGGGGACGGCAGACGTTACACATAAACTACAACATTCTTCTTAGCTCCACGGCTCCTAACCCAAACGCTTACATGAACAATTGATATTCACCAAGAATATCATTGAAAATGAGGTCATAAATGAAGAAAGTAGCGGCGTTGCACGTCCATGCGCAATATGTACAGGAAAGGACGAATGATAAACCTCGCCAGTTCCTGCACCAGTTCGGGAAATAAAAAAATATTTGAAGAATCTACCCCGACCGTAACCGGCAAAAAAAAATCTTTTTTCTTTTTTTTTTTTTTACCTGGAGAACCCTACGCTTAGCATGGTATCAGACCGCAGTTTGATGCAGTACAAATAACATATGCTAAGTTTATGGAATTATAAGAAGGGCTGGGAACTAGTCCCGTTAGAACGACACTGCAGTAACCCAGCCCTCGTCTGCCAGAGCTACCGACCTGTCGCCAACCAGTTGATTCATCACGCAAATCAACACGGATGGATATATGTGTATATGTATATATATATATATATATATATATATATATATATATATATATATATATATATATATATATATATATATATATATATATATATATATATATGTATATATATATATATGTATATATATATATATAAAACAAGGATGCACGGAAGAATACATAAGGCAGAGTGTAGCCACCTTCCCACCCTACTAGGGTGCTGCAGCATGAGAGGTCATATACACTCCTGGCGGGGTCATGAAGAGACCTGCCCGCTTGCCCCTCGTCATTGGTGCAACAATACTGGTGGGTAGAGAGAGGGAGGGAGCACTCAGCCTCACACTGGCGAGACATGTTATTGTAGAGGGGGTGACGGCATCACACACCCTATAACCTGCCAACTATGTTGCCTCAACACCCGTGTTGGGAAGGTGAGTACGACGCCTCCTTGAAAAGTCATCATGCATATTGTATGGCGTCATCATATACATGGCAGAGCCGCGCCCAGACTACAGCGTGGCAGCGCAGCACACATCTACTTCGCTATGGCAGACAAGACAATAACACTAATTCCTTAAGAACCGGAATTAATATTAGTAACAGTAACAATAGGCTCGCGAAACAAAAGTGCTTCTGAGGTAAAAACTACAAGCTTGATGGATAGGGTGACATGTACATAAAAAGTAGGGCATAGATTGAGACAATGGTAGAGGTTAGGTCGCACCAGGTGACCGTAGCCACACTCAACCCCCACTACCAACACCACAAAACTACTCGGCCACCACACACGACTAACAGGTCTTCAGTCATCTGCAGTTTGCTTACATTTGCAGAGGAAACATCGATTCACCTGTGTAACATATGTGATAATGAACACATGTGCCTATATGACACTTGCGCGTCCACATATCCAGACGTGCACACTCGTCTCATCTGGCAATGATGGCCACAGCAAAACCAACTTTTAAATGCCACTTAACTAGTATTTTGTTCCTCAATGGGAATGTTACCATGGCAGTGCTTAACAATAGGCAGTCCACAATCATCACTAGACAAGTGTTTCTAATATCCCCTGAACACTGTTGCTGACTCATTTTAATATTCACAAAGCACTGCACTCAATACTATGAAATATCTTCACTGTATTGTTGCACACAGTAACATTTTTCATTTCAGCACTAGTTGAACACTGCTGGAAATATTGTTTTTTTTTTTCAACACTTTTGTTATTCTGGTTGATATATCGTACACTTATCATCACTAAGGTCTTGCAATGTTTGGTTCTTGCTGCAGTAACTTGCTGTAATCCATGAACGCGACCTGTAGTTGAGGAATAAGTATAACCAGCAAGGTGCAGGCTGTGGTTTAGCATGGGGGCCTGACTTTAGCATGCCTCAAGCTGTTGATATCAAGCCAATGAATCATTTAATGCTTGATCTTATCCCATTAGCTTCCCAATTTCCAGATTAACAAAGAAAACATGCACCAGAAAATTATTACAAATGACCTCAGGCAAAACTATTCTGACAAAAAGTCTAAAATTTACTTCATGGAAATATGAATTTACATATTTGAGGCATGTCACTGAGATACTTTGATCACATTTAACAAATTTACTCTTCTAGGAACAACATACTGACGCAAGTAAGCCTGATCCCTGCTAGCCCACGAAGCCTTCAAGCAAGAGCAGACTTTGTACTTACTTCTGAGAGGAAGGTCTGTGCGGCTTTCTGGGCACCAACATGGAGCAAGTATTCGTACACATACAACGCCAATCTAGAAGATATGAGAAAAGTTATAAACAACAGTGGAAACGTTAGTACAAACATTCAAGTTTATCATGCTTAAATTTAAGAGCAATAACAGTAAATATTTGTTGGATGTTTGTCTAAAAAACATATTTCCTTCCAGACTGTGGTACTTTAAATCTTTATATTTGTGATGACGGCATTTACACTTATCAAAAAGAAGCGCTAAACCTACAAGGGTAATACAGCGCAGCACGGCATTTACAAAAACAAAACAAAAATAATCTGGAATTAATGAGCCCTCTTTGAAGTGTACATAAGTCACATTTCACGGCCTACGAGTGGTGGTGTGGGAGGGTTGGGGGGGGGAACCATGTTACCGGGCTATTTTATTTTGAGAACTATAACATTTTTACGAAAAAAAACAATGGTAGAGGTAATGTAGAAATTATGTATTACATTAATGGAAACGCTTATATTCTGCAGCGTGGGAGATCTTCAGCAGTTTTAGAAAATACAGAACACTGAACTTAGAGGAGTTACATGGCGACCATGTGTAGTGCCCCCCCACCTCCTCCATATTTACCTACGAGCGCCCCCACACAAATAAATCTACAAGGGAGTCTGAGGAGGTAACCTAGACCTATATTTAAGTAGTCATATTACTTTCGAGAAATTATAGGGATGTCACTGTTTGTCATAAATGTCACTTTTGTATATATTATGAATATACCACATAAATCAAGACAAATTCTTATATCTACTGTATCTGCCTCTGTATTGGCTTACATAAATAAACAACTAACATAACTCTCATGCGCTTTGTGGCTAAAGATTTAAACCTGGCGCCAAAAGACAAGCGGCAAGCGTCCCCCTCTCCCTCACTGCTCTACAATGGTGGGGGCCACGCGGTCTCTCCCTTGTACACCCATAAGCATCACTACGTCTGTAAAGCACAATCACTAGCAGTAATACATCTTCACTTGAGTACCAGATGAAAAACGGCAGCAATATCAATGATTGTCAGGGGAGGCTGAACGCTTACTGGAACAGCTACTATCACTCGTCCTGCTACATCACCAAACCGCTTATTCCTATGTCGTAAAAACACACTATTTTCCTCATTTTATGCTTGCCGGATTAGTGACCACTAACACTGTCCTACCGAAGGCTACGACATCACATTATGTTTCTTCATTGAGTATGTTTCACTTACTTTTCCCTGGCTTGCGCATCGGAGGGCACGGACGAGCCCTTCCCCTTAGCGTACATGTTGAACACTGTACTGTAGCCAAGTCGACTCAGCAGCGGGGGACGGGGGGGAGTGGAGACATGCCGGGAGATGAGGGGGGAGGACGGTTGCCATGACGACTAGCTAACGCTACGTCCTGATTGGCTGTCAAGCTTACCTGGGGGGGGAGAGGTGGGGGTGCGCACGTGGGATGCTAGTTAGTCTTGTTGTTGTCCTATGTTCCTCACACTACTTCAAACTCTCTTCCTTCATGTTCCTAGCAGGAATATATATTTACAGCTATGTATTTTACAACAAATCAAAGATATTTTCAAGTAATTAATCAAAGAATATGGAAAAAGAATTAACATGGACAATTTGGCATAACAATACCAATGCTGCTAACCCATAATAGCTGATGAGAGCGTCCTTCTGACATTATATTGGTATTGCTTTTATTAGTGTATCTTACTATTTAAACAGTTACATTTTCCATTAATCAACATTATACACGAACTCCCAAAGTAACAAAGCCTTGAAAGCACTATATCTGCTTTGACAGCATCAAGTTGTGTGTTGTGAGTGGGAGCAGCAGTAGCTGCTTGACACACCAAGTGGGACCTAACAATGTTCCCTACACTTGTCTGAGGATACCAGCGTCGCTACCGAACATCCAACATCTACCAAACATCCTTCACCTTAACATAGGTGGGCTGTTTACCAGAATAACCCACTGGAAATATGTAACATTATTTGATATTACTGGTGCATGATTATGTAACATCTGTGTACCATTAAAAACCATTGTGAAAACAGTTAACTTGCTTATAAATCAATTTGTAGATTGTCCTAAAGAAAAACTTAGTAAAGGACCCCAATGGAAATAAATGACTGTGTTTTTGGGGGGTTATCCTATGTAATTTATGCTATGTGTAACTGTACTTATGTGTACCTGTTCCTAAATAAACTTACCATTATTGTTATGGAAGGGATGGGAGGTATTCAGGTATTCAGGGAACTGAAGAATAGACCCAATTCCCTAGATCAAGAGCCCCTGACCAGCACCAAGGAGCCTCCCTTAAATTATGCCCTTAGACACACCCACAGAGGACAAATTCACATCAATGAATAAAAGTCAGACGACCACATAATTTTCAATTTTAATAGTCAAAAACTGAGTTAATTATACGAGTAAAGGCCTGGATTAGTTGGGGCACACAAGGCCATGGTGAATACAATGTGGCGCCTTACCCAGACCTGATCTTCATACAACACTCAACGACCACCAAGCTATGAAAGAATTTAGAACTACTTAGCCACGTGTGACAGTGACACTGTAACTACTTAACTATGTATGACACTAAAACTGCTGAACCACACATGCTTTGAAATTACTTAACTTCACGTAATACTCTAACTACATCATTACATATGATGCTTCGTAATTAATCCAAAAATGACAATTGCGTCTGACAGTCAGAAAATATGTTAGGCAAGCGCCTGTTTATGTTGACTCAGGCCACCGTTCGCAAGGATTTAATACTCTTTTAGAGACTCAAGTATTCTTGATGTTTTATATATATATATATATATATATATATATATATATATATATATATATATATATATATATATATATATATATATATATATATATATATGTGTGTGTGTGTGTGTGTGTGTGTGTGTGTGTACTCACCTATTTGTGGTTGCAGGGGTCGATTCATAGCTCCTGGCCGGTGTGTGTGTGTGTGTGTGTGTGTGTGTATTACATTGATAAACTTCCAACCCAGCCAACTGTAGCTGACAGAATCTACAGAACTACTGGAGAATAGGAGTAACATTTACAATTTACAGGCTACGATCTGATAAATTAGACACATGTGCAATACTTGGGTATATTTATTGAGGAAACGTGTCGCCACACAGTGGCTTCATCAGTCCATACAAAGGACAACGGTGAAGAACAGGAGGAGTTTGAGGAAATCAGTCCTTCAGCCTTGAGTCAATGTAGTCAGTCCATCAATCTTGAAAAGACTGCTGTATTCTTTTCAAGACTGATGTACTGACTACATCGACTCAAGGCTGAGGGACTGATTACTTCAAACTTCTCCTGTTCTTCACCATTCTCCTTTGTATAGATTGATGAAGCCACTGTGTGGTGAAACGTTTCCTCAATAAAAATACCCAAGTGCTGCACATGTGTCTAATTTATCAACTTGTCGGCTCTCTGAACTATTCATCTACAGGCTACGATCTGTTAAGCTACATTAGTTCATTGCGAAGTCCAGTCGTAATGTATAAATGGTATGTGATACCGACAAGTTGTTGGAAAACGACAGGAAATACAAACACTAAAATGCAAATATGGGCTTACTGCCCAAGCTAGGCAGGTCCAAGTCACACCCACCTAAGGAGCACTGTTGCAGGCCTACAGGCTTCAGGTAACCTTGAGCACGTAATGTACTTGACCAATAATGGTATTCTTGTCAGTCAAATTTGCCAGTATGACTGTCAGTCAGTGAACACACAAGTTACACAATATAACAAATAATTTTTAATATAAAAAATAACGCTAACGAAAACAGCAAAAGTACAGAAATAATGACAGTGCATCAATGACACAGTCGTAATGACAAAAAGCAATTACAATAGTAATAATGACGGTAAAAATAATTGCCTACAGCAATAATGCCAGTAGCACCAGTAATAAGTAATAATTGTACTGACAATAACACTACAAGAGTAACCATCGTACCAGTAATGACAGCATGGACAATACAGGTACAAGGTCTTGTAAAGATTAAATATAAATAATCCAAGGAAGCAAAATTAAGATTAATTTATTAGAGATTTACTTTCCACAACTGTTCCACACAGCCAGACTCAGCCGCCCAAGACAAAGTTGGCAATACAGTATTACTCCTAGCAGTATTAATCAAGAACACAAGAATGATAATACGCTAAGTGTCAAGAACAATCTTATCTGGTGTAGCAAGATCCAGTCGACGTATTGACGACAAAAATAAAAATATAAGTGGCAGAACAAGATTTGTTCTGTCACGTATATTTTCTGTTTACAATACTTGTAGCTTGCTGCTGGTTCCCTTGACGGCAGGTGAGGCAAAACTGCCTTGTTAACTTAATACCCCGCCAGGAGGTAACCTCTTATTATAATTCATGTAGTTGTTATCATGTTCAAGTGTTCATCATAGTGCAAATGAAATGTTTTTTTATCAGTAACGTTTACATGGCCCGAGTAAAACAACCATGAGAATCAACTAAATGAATGTTTATTCCTTACTAGTATTAACAAGGCATGACAGTGTGCCGTGTGTGACCTCATCATCAGTATCTGAACGCCATCTACCTGACGGGAGACGCACTCTTTACCCTGGACGTAAGTGTATATATACACCGAGAGGTGCATATCTTAATGTGTATATATGTGAGGAAAAGCTGCACCATGCTACATATATATAAGTTGATAGTTTAATCTCATTCCTATTTTAGGTAGTGAAGGATCTTTGATTGGTGATGTACAGGTGACAAGCACCCTTAATGGTCCACTAGAAACTGGGTAGACTTTAACCTGGCCAACCAAGCATGACTTCACTCGTCAGGCGTGTGGTGAGGGAACTCCATATACTCACTGGGAGAGACACAGTTTACTGCTACTCTACCGTAGACATAAAATACACTGAAAAGGAGAATGCGCTTTTTACATGCCCATAACACTTGCGTGCCCTCCAAACCATTGTTATAAAAGTATTTGTATATAATGTACACCAAGCTCAGTGTTACCAGGTCACTGCTCAATATTATCAAGTGTATGTTTGTATGTATTTAATGTGTGTGTGTATGTAGTTTGTGTGTGTGTGTGTGTGTGTGTGTGTGTGTGTGTGTGTGTGTGTGTGTGTGTGTGTGTGTGTGTGTGTGTGTGTGTGTGTGTGTAATGCGTGTGTATATATGTAATGTGTATGTATGCATATAATGTGTGTGTGTATGTATGCATGCATGCATGCATGTACGTATGTTATATGTATGTATGTAAGAACGTATGTAGGAAGGTATGCATGCACACAGCGGGTGAGTGCTAGCAGTGTGTGGTATCTTACAGTTACTAAGGAAGAATAACAAGCCAAGTGAACATAACGATCTCTTCAGTATTGCAAGATCGTCCTCGTCACCAGCAAGAGCTAAATCCGTAAGGGCCATACAGCGGCTAGAGAATGGGGTGGTGCTCACATTTGGTGAGAGAAGGCAAGGTTTGCTTTAATTCCATGGATCGAGAGCACTTCCCAGGCATCAAGACACGCCTCTTGAACAGTGAGTGCAAGGAGAGATGTTCAGAGTGCGTCTCGAGTGCAAGTTGTTCATGAAACAGAGTTCAGATATAACTCAGGTTAATTAACACTGAGTGTTAATTACACATATACTCTGGACATTACACCAAGATTCTTTTTTTAATTAGGTATCCCCAAAGGAGGATACCTAATTTATTTTCTTTCTTTTTCTTTCGCTGATAACTCTAGAACGCCTCGTCCAATCATCTTTAAATTCTTCAACACTTGTGTACGGTAGCGAGGACTAAATTCCTGGAACAGTTGTCATGTTCACGTTCCCCAAGACTGAAGTGACTGAACCTTTCCCAGCATCCTGCAATGGCTGCGATAATTTCCAAAACCTGTGAGGCATAGCTTCAAACATTAAAAAAAAAAGATGCCTCCTTATTCGGCGAGGTCAGACACTAAAATCCAAGTATATAGCCGCAGATTTAGCCGTTTTAGGTGTAATATGGAGTGAAATTTTTTATTTCCCATTAAATCATAACTAAATTTCAATTTACCTTTTCTGAACAGTTTCAGTATTTAATGGCTGTTTATCTCAGGGTCAGGATAGTTGCAAATTTGTTGCTGTGATAAAACAGTAAAAAAAAAAAATAATCACTGTAATCTAGACCATAACTGAAGAATGATTCATTTGATCGGCTTCAAATTTTCACCTTAGCGTAGTTCCTTGGACACAATCCTGACACTGCTGTTGACTGCCATCAGTACCAAGTTGTCATTTTTATTTAATAAATAGTGAAATTTATTTTTATTCAATAACTAATGAATGCTTCTTCTGAATGGATATATATTATATATATATATATATATATATATATATATATATATATATATATATATATATATATATATATATATATATATATATACATATACATGTATATTGCAACATTGGAATTTTATGACCACCCTCCATTGCTCCTTTTGCGTGCACTGAGGTAGAAGGGGCTGGGCTCATGGAATGCGGGGATACCTTTCTCTGGCTGCATGGCGTTTACTCTAAAAACTTGTCCTGCAGATGAATAATACATGACCTAAGTTACTCTTTGAATGATTAACTGTGGGTCAGAGAAACAGTGAAATATAGAGTGGACGAGAAGTCTTAGTGAGTGCTATAATTTCCGCATTGTCTTGTCCACATATTTCTCTGTATAGTTTGCCTTTGATATTTACTTTTCTTTGTGCACAGTGAAAGACATACACCTCTCAGTGTACGTACACTGAGAGACATACACCTCTCAGTGTACGTACACTGAGAGACATACACTTGTCAGCGTATATACACTGAGAGACATACACTTGTCAGCGTACATACACTGAGAGACATACACCTCTCAGTGTACATACACTGAGAGACATATACATGTCAGCGTACTTACATTGAGAGACATACACTTGTCAGCGTACATACACTGAGAGACATACACTTGTCAGCGTACATACACTGAGAGACATACACCTCTCAGTGTACGTACACTGAGAGACATACACTTGTCAGTGTACATACACTGAGGG